AGGAGAAATACAATGAACATGCCCAGAAGCCTTCACCCTTTGTACTGCAATTGTCAGAGCACTGAAAGAGCAATTGAAATCATTACAGATATCCCTCCCAGATCTAATGCAACGTAATCTCGTTCATCTCAGATAATCACGTCAAGTCATTAGCTCGCCAATAATTCACCTCGCGCCGAGTGCCGCGACTTGGCAAAGAGCAGGCTGTGCTCTTCAGGTGGCCAAAGCCTGAGCATCTCCTGGCCAGCCCACTGCCCACCACGCAGGTCCCCCGTGGGCAGCCGGGGCTGGGCTGCCCCCAGGCAGGGCTTATGCACGCAGGGCCAGCTTGCTTTCAAATCCTGCTCCGTTTTATGGCAGGGACAGCCACGATGCCCTTTGTGCGATTGAAAAAAAAAAAAAAGGCATCATTGTAAATGGCTTAACACTTTTTAAAACTCGCCATGGCAGGAACAGGGATATCTCAGAAATATTTTAATTAAATGAGCTCAAAATTACACCAGGCACTCTACACAAATAACTGGCCAAATGCATCAATTTTCACACCAGTCCAACTGTGCATGTGGTTTGCAGAGGATGCAAAATCTAGCTTTAAACTAGCTTGTTGAAATTCAGCAATTTTGCCAATTTGCTAAAATAGAGCTCAGCTATGCAAAGCAGCAGAAGTCCCACAAAATCAGATGTACCTGACAGAGTAGGAGGTGTAGAGGAGCTAGATTTTAAAGTGCTTGAAATGTCTCCTTGTTTTGAGCCTGCAAAACTCAGCTGGACACTTCCCAGAAACAGGCTTGCAGAAGACTTCCACAGAAGCAGCTTTTAAGAAGTGCCTATATAGGATTTCATCCCTTCTGGCACCAAAGAAAACCTGGATTAAAGCTACACTCAGCAATCCAAGTAGCAAAAAAAGGATAATTCCAAATTCTCTAGAATGCACCAAGCCCCACCCCAGTAGCACTGGCTGCACTGGAGACATGCCAGGAGCACCGAGAGGAAATAATTTGCATGTATTTACATCATGACAACATGAAAAACATAGTTATCATTTTCATTTAGGGCCCCATGTGCTCAGCCATTCCGGGGGGGGAAAAAAAAAAAAAAAAAAAAAAAAAAAAAAGGGTGCTCTGCAGCTAGCTCAGGCACTTTAAACTGAAATCTTCAACAACTCATAGTCCTTATGGTTGGGAAGATACATCAGTTGGGCTCTTGCTCTCCAGTACCATAACACCCTCCTTGGTAACTGACAGATGTATGATCCATCCCAGACCACTCTCACAAGGTCCCATCCGAATTTCTCAAGCTTTGCCCGTGGCTGGCGCAGAGCAGAAAGAGCACTGTGGCCTCTGGGCTGCTGCTTCCCAGGAGAGCCTGGGCAAGGAACATCCCCCGGGCTCCCACCAACAGGACAGGCTGGCTGCAGCTTTAACAACCATTTAATTACTGTTGAGCTCGGGACTTTTTGATGTTCAGGTGCCCACGGGTAACTCTCTGGACTTACGGATTGATTTCTCGCACCTTGCATCCAGATGAGCCAAGGAGCATTTGGAAGGCCAACCTACCCCAGCAGTTTAAGGCACGAAGCAACACAGACTGGGTCACCCTGTTTTGGGATGAGGAGGAAAAGGCGTTCAGTTGTACGAACACAAGCCCAGCCACTTGCCAGGAAAACAAGCCCTGGCCTATTGTGTTTATTAGTACTGATGCGGCCATTGGTGCTCTGCAGGAAAGCCAGAAAACGTAAGCTTTGGAGGAAAGCTGCAGCAAACGCTCATAAAATTGCTGTCCAAGTGCATCCTTGGCACGGCTAATGTCCTGTTCCACCGAGTCCTTTCAGGGCCAGGGATTTGCACTAAGACGCAGAGCAAGACGGGGCTGTGTCCCCAGCAAGTCCAGCCGACACAGGCAGGAAAAGCAGGAAGGCAGAGGCAGCCGGCTGAGCACCTCCCCTTCCCTCCTCGCCCCGAGCTGTGAGAATCCCGGGAATTCTCCAACATCCTCCTGCTTTTGGACAGAAACCTTCCCTCCGGCCAGCACCGCGAGGATGCCCACGCCACTGCCAGCCCTTCAGCAGGGCAGGAGGAAGGGGATGGCATCCCTGCCCTGCAACACCGACCCCCTGTATAAAGTCCCTCTCAACCTAGATCCACAAAAGGGACCAGATTTGGGCTTAATATATACATCTTGGTCTGGTGGAGCCGTTCTGCCCACAGCTGTTGCTCTGCTTTGCTCTCAGGAGAGCAGCACCAGGCCGGCAGAGCCCAGCCAGGGCAGGAATCCCAGCAATGCCGGCTATGCCGTGCCCTCCTCTTTGCCCCCAAAGGGTCAGGTCTCCATCAAAACAAGAAGCCGGGATCAGCCAGGCCCACGGCACTCGCCCTCCAAGCCCCAGCTGCCAGGGAGGAGAGGGGAGACAGGGCTGCGGGAGCTGCGGCTGCTCGTAGCCCCGTCCCTCCCCGCTCCCAGCCCAGCGCAGGCAGTTACGGGGGGCTTCCAGGACGCTCTCCCCCTTGGGACCCCCACTGTCGGGCAGGGTGCTTCCTCACTTCATCGCGGGATCATTTTTTTAATCATTTAGTAAATAGAGGCAAAGCCCAGCGAGCAGCTTAGGGGGAAGGCAGCACTGAGAAAGGGGAGTTGTAGTGGCAAGGGGACGGCAAGGGTCCCCCTCCCTCACCAGCAGCGACTAATTCAGAACAAACTGGGACACAGCACTTTCCCCCTAAATGAGGGACTGCAATAAAAACCACACAAACCTCAGGGTCAGCAGCTGCTTCACACACCACAGGCAGAACCGCTGCAGCTTGCACGTGAAGATCTCCCATCGCTTGCTTTCTGTGCCTAAATAAGCTTTTTCTTCCTCTGGTTTCCCCACGCCAATATTTTGGGATTACTTTATTCCTTAAAGAACACAAATTCTCCTCTGCTTTAAGAAGGTCACACATTCCCTGACCTCCAGTCAAACTGAAACCAGCCTCCAGCGCCCAGCCCAGCCAGCAAATGCCCTTGCAGTACCGCGGTAATGACTTGCTGCTGGGTGCAAGGCCAGTGCAAAACATGGGAAACCAGGGAAGGGCTATACACATAAACTAACCAAACAAACCATCCTGGCATCGTCTTCAAAAACAGCACCCCGCAACAAATAAAGAGACAGTAAAAGTCTCTCTGGCAGATCTGATCTGCAAAATCATAGCCTTTCCATGACTTGCATCTCTCCTGTCTTACGCTAGATCAAGGAAGCCTGAGCACATGTTTCAAGCACATCATTCACCATGAGAAATCATTATTTTACCCTAATTTGTGTCCTTTCCCCACCATTCGGAGCTTTATAAACTTAAGCGTAGTCTAGAAAATTTATTTATATTGGTCAACCAGGAAGTTTTAGTGTTGTTTTTTCCTAGGGTTTATTTAAGCCCTCGGAGTTATGCCAGTCCTCCCACACTCATGTGGAGTTATGTGATTCTGGGGCTGGAGCTGCTTTCTTTCAAAAGTCTTATCTTGAAAGGCAGAAGAGGAAACAGCTGTTTATAAGAGCTCTTGACAGCGTAACAGTTGTTCTGTCCCAAATCTTGTTGGGAACCAAGGTGAGCAAACCTAATGCCATAAAGGACTTCTCAACTTGTGCACCAGCCACAACATTAACCACCACCAAGAGGACAGGGCAGCGGGTAGGAAAGCTGTTGAGAAAAGCCCCCAAACTATTTACACCCTGAAAGCTTGAAACAGAAGAGCTTTGCAGTCTGCGTCCTTGGGCTATGATACTCCTCCTCCGGCAATAAGAAAAGAGAAAATGAGATTATAGGAAGAGTCCGCAGGAGGGGCTGAGAGAGGAGCAGGGCAACAGCCAAGCCCGGACAGGGCTGCTCAGCCACACGAGCAGGTCCGGTGCTTACGGGATCCCACGAGGCCACCAGAATGACAGCTCATCCATTACTCAACGTCCCTGCCAGCATCCTCAGCTCCTTCCAGTTAAGAGTGTTACTTCCAGGAGAGAGCCATCCCTGGAAGACAGGGCAGACCCCTCGCTGTGACCCATGGAGCAGAACAAATTACCTGCGCCGGTGGCCACGCTGGCCACGTACGTCAGACCGAGGTCCAACCATCGCCCAAAGGGCTGTCGTGTGCACCGAAGAGCAGTCCGGCTCCTGCTGTTTTCAGCCGGGGGGGCAGCGAGCTCGCCGGGTGTGTGGTTTGCTCACATCCCAGCCTGCCCTTGAACACCTTCCAGTTGCACAGGCGAGAGGCCAGGGAGCAAAAGAAAAGCTCCTCTCCTGGCTATCGGCCAAGCATTATATGGCGAGAGCACCCCGTATCCTGACTATAAGTAGTTTGGGAAGCCAGATGACTTCATTACCAGCTGACATCCCCTGAACTACTCACTGTTAAACAAGCTCGCTGCTGGCCGGCCCCAGAGCTCATTACTCAACACTTTAATTTGCACATTGCCATTTACCAGGCACTAAACTGGCATATCCAGGCAGCACCCAAATTTTCACACAGCTGTAGTGCTTATGCAAGCGGTAAAACACAACCATGCCTCTTCCACAAGTAGTTTGCTGTTACTTTTGAATCGGAACTGACACACAAGGACATCCTCCGAATCGTGGACGCGCTACAGTTTCCATCCAGTGCTGGCAGCCCCACGTCCCGCACCCACCTTCCACCCCATGCTCCTGCACAGGACGCAGCACCGCGAGCACAGAGACGACCCTGCTACCGCTCGGGCTGTAGCTAACCCCAACCACCGCACACGGGATGCCTGGGTACCGCGGGGGACAGCCAGCGCCGGGGATGCTGCAAACGCGACGGTGCGGCACACGAAATTTGCAGGCATCGCGCCTGGGTTACGCGGAGATCTCAATGGAGAGAGGGACGGTGAAAAATACAGGGTTATGAATAACCTGGAGGACAGGACTTATACAAGAGAAGGCTGTAAGAGGAGATGGAGAAGTGCTGCCCCCGCCACCCCGATGCAGAAGAAGAAGGAGCATCCTCGCCGTGCTCACCCTGATCCGCCGCATGGCCGTCACGATCTCCACCCGGCTGTTTGGCCGTGGCACATCCAGGCTCCCGATGTACTGGAAGGAAGGAAAGAGCAGATTAGTCGAGTATCCATGGCACTGGAAACCTCATGGTCCCACCACGGCCTCGATGGCATCACTGGAGGGAACCCAGGGTCACTTCTGGGGAACAGGCGGCATTTTGCCCACTGCACCCGAAGCCTTGCACGCCTCCCACCATGAAGCTGTTCCCTCACCACAAAGTTTCAAGGATTCAGCAGCCCTTATTTGCTGGCCTCATTCATCTATGCCATGATCAAAGTACGCAGGTATAAGCCAATATCCCCTCGGCTGCACTGAGTCATCTATTATAGACCTAGATATTGGAATATCCCTAAAATAGCTTGGGCAACCTGTCCTGTGACAGGCCCTTCACTGCTTAATTACAGCCCTGCCAAACCCTCGGCTGTTTTTGCAGTGATGCTGAGCCTCCAGAATAAAGGAGCCGCTTTGCTATTCAAAGGGGACCAAAGGCAGCGCCACTGCGACCCAGCACGGAGAGATGCCGAACAAAAACCTTTTAAAAAGTAAAATGGAAGAGGGCAGATTCAGAAGAAGGATCAGAAAACAGACAAGCAACAAAGAGTCAATGCTGAGCACTAAAAACATGTAGTTAGAAGAAAAGCATTTTGAGTCTATTTACTAGCCCCCTGTGCTCCCACGCTTCATCTCGACATGAGCGCTGACGTAACCCTCCGCAGCGCAGCGCAGGCACCGAACTCGGCAGGGCTACGTGTTCCTGTGAATACGGCCATAACCTTCGCCAACAACACGAAATCCCAGGTCACTGGTTTCGAGCACCAGCGCCGAGACGGGTGCCTGAACGGCTGAACACGTGCTAAGGGTCACCGTACAGGCAGAGCCTGCGGAGAGCGGTTATTTCTCACCCAGCACCACTGCGGGACTCCCAGCTCCTCTCCGCTGGGATGCTCCTGCCACCTCTATCGAGGGCACAGCACCGGGGCTGCGTGACCACACCTGGGCTTTGTGCGGGCATGCTGTCCCAGAGAGCCCTCCTTGCTAGCCCTCTTTGCCCGCACCCCAAAATCCACAAGCCCACCCGCTCGGTGAGGCCGTCCCCAGCGGCACGGCTCCCGCCCCGGGCGCAGACGAAGGCGGGCGTCCGGCGACCGGCACCGGGCAGTCGGTGCTGAGAGTAGATGCGAAGAGAGAGGATATAAAAATAAACACCAAACAGCTGGCGTGATCGTCACGTGCCGAGCAGGCTGCCACGGTGCAGGGCAGCTTTATGTAACCGGGAATTAAAGCCCACGATGAACGCCGTCGGTAAAGGCGGCATTAACTGCCCAGACCCCAACCGCTGAATGCCCAACTGCAAAAAGCACAGGTCTTGATAAGTTTTCAGTCGCATCCCCTAAACACAGCCTTCCCACTCCCTTCAAAGGTTCAGGTCATATTAATAGAGGCATCTTTGACATCAATCGATTCCCTTTTCTTATATAAAGTCTGGAAACCATCAGTAAAAAGGAGGAGACGAGGAGGAGGGCTGAGGCAGCCAGAGCCCTGGGCACGCCATCACCGTGCAGCACGTAAAGAAGAAACCTTTCTCCATCTTTCCCTGCCAGGCAAACGTCTCAGCTGCACAGCACCTCTCCCACCAAGCCTCCCCATGCTGCTCTTCTGCCAGGGACCCCCAGCACTGCTTCACACTCACCTGCAAGGGAGACTTTTTAGCTTGAATTGTAAGAGCGACAGACTTTTGCTAGCAAAGGGGACAGCCAGAGGATGCCTATCTTCTTCCAGTTATTCCCAACAGCATGAGGTCACTGCCACCGGAGGGGTAATCGCCGTCCTTCTCCCTGCGTTTTCCTTGCACAAGCGAGCGCAGAGTACAGCCACGTGCAAGGACAGGGCAAGCGGTGGCAGCTATCAGCTGGGCAGGAGACAGCCCCGTCCACAGCTGGCTCCCACAGCCACATGAATCCGAGCAATGCCAACCTTCTGGCTGACGACCACAACCTCGGCCAGCAGCAACGCTCCGTCATGCCTGTAATTGCATGTGCGAGACTGTCAGGGCTGGGCTGCCCCGTAAGCAAGCGATGGAGCAGAAACCAGACACCCCCTTGGACCTCTTTGGATGGCCCTCCTGGAAAACTGCACCAGCAATAGGAACTGTCTTGATGCTGTCCTGTCTGTGCCCCTTTATTCAGCTATTCCCCTCCAGCCCATGCTTGTGAGCACCCGAACCAAGGGGCTCAGGTCACAAACCATGCAGGATTCGCCTCTGCTCCCAAACCCAGGCTCCATGGCATCCTGCTGGCATCCCCCATCCCGTGGGAGCATACCCCCACCAGAGCCCATGGCACCTCCAGCCCTGACGTGGGCTCACTTCACACAATTACTGTGCTCACAGCTCCGATAACACCCACCTCTCCCTCCGCTCCGGAGGCAGGTATTTTTTTGCACGTTTCATAAAACTCAACAGATGGACAAAGTCTCCCCAGATTATTTTTGTCTTCAGGGCAAAAATCACATGTGGGAACTGCACTGCAGAGGAGGAGCCCTTCACAATGTGATGAGCATCCCCCAAAAATGTGGACTCGGAGGTCAGCCTTTCAGCTAAACTACTATTTCCCAGGCAAGGAGTGGGGATGGCCTGAGAAACCACCCATATTTACTAGTGCTTTGCAGGCAATAAGTGCACTGAGGGCCACTCCTTCCCCGCTCTCCTCCAGCCCTCCTACTCCCAGCACCAACTTTCATTTTGGGAAGAGCTGTGGGGGAAAAGCAGGCGAGGCAGAGGTGAGGATCAGCAAAGCAGCTGGAGCCTGTGGGGTGCAGGGCTCCCCCATCATCCCACCCCAACGCTGAGACCCAGCTCCCTCCTCCCAGGGCAGGAGCCCCAGGGACCCCCAAGCATAGGGGGGGGGTCTCAGATCGCAGGCATAGACTTTTGCCTTCCTTTAAAATCCACGTGCCCCAAGCGAGGTGCCAGGCGTGGCGGTGGCTCCCAGGGCTTGGACCAGCATCTGTGCCAGCATCCGTGCCAGCAGGTCGACCCCACAGGAAAAGGAGGCAGTGGGGCCGGGGCTCAGCCCGGGGAGGAGAAAGGAAGGCGCCTGAGACAAAAGGAAGGAAAATAAAGCTGTGTGAAAGAGAGCTGACAAAGAAAATAAACCCATGAAAGAACCCACCCTCTCCAAGCCCCCGGGAACCAAAGAGGAGGAGGAGGAAACCATATGCACACATGCAGGACGCGGCTTTCCCAAATAATTGCCTCCAGATCCGTAGCCCCACCACCCTGCAAGCGGATGGGGGGCAGAGGGGGAGCCCCCCCACCTGCACCCAAGAGCCAGGCGGGATTAGGGGGTCACCGATCCCTACGCTCTGAAGGTGGGGAACACGCTTGGCTCAGTGGGGAGGGCAGTCCCAGGCAGCCCCCTCCTCCTTAGCCCAATTAGGAGGAGAAAGGCCACCCGCTTGGAGCGCCAGTGAATGGGCAGCCAAGGGGGTCCCTCCTGGAATGAGGCACTCTGGCAGCCCCACAAAGGCAGCCCTCGCATTGCAAACGGCCAGCACGGGCAGGCAGGCACGAAGCACCTGTTTTGCAGGGTGCTTTCGGTCCCCCGCACGCCCTGCTGCTCCTCATCCCCCACGTGTGGGACTCGGTCTTCCGTCAGTCCGTCCCGGGGCCCCTGGGAAAGGGCAGCCCCTCTCCCTGCCACGGCACAGACTTGGTGGCCGTCACCCATCGGGCTTCTCGGCACCCAAAGGGAGGTGGCTTACTGTCCCCCTGCCATGCAAACAGGCTCCCTTGTCCATCCCAGGCATGGCTGGAAGGGGCCTCCAGACACAGCCCACACCACGCACCCTCTGCCCATGGCTTACGAAAGACTTGTCCAATTCAGGGAAATACCAGTCCTCCCCAGGCCAGAGGAAAAAAAAACCAAGAAAACAAAGGAGAGCATTTTGCCAAAGCAATGTTTGCACAAGTCACTCCGTTTCTCATTTTTCCTTGAGGTTGTTTAATATTGCTCATTTTCTGCTCTGTCAGAAATGAATTTTCTGGAGAAGGTGCTTTTTCCGTGGCAGCAGGTGGAAGATATTTTCAAAAAACCGAAGGCCCATCGCATCCCTGACAGGGGGACATGTCCAAGGGGTGTGGATGAGATCCCTTGTGGGTGGTGGGCAGCGGTGGGCAGCGAAAGCCTTCCCGGAGGGGAGCTGCCGCCTTCCCCAGGGAGACACGCTGCTGCTCTGCCAGCCTGATACTGCGTGCAAAGGTCAGGGCTGAATCATACCCAACTTACGGTGGAGCCTACATTGGCTGGCTGCCGGGTTTCCAGCTTCGAAAGCTGCCCTGAGTTAGAGAGCTTGCCACGGATGAAGAGCCGCTGGTTCTGCAGAGGAGCTACAGGCAGGCAGGCAGCAGGGCAGCGCAGGGAGAAGACACACGCTGGCACCAACCCCAGGCTGGGGCATCGCACTGTGGGCTACGCAGCCGTCCTCGGGGCCGGGAGAGCCTCGATGGAACAGGGCATCCTGCGCCCAGGCTGGGGAGGGGTTACCAGAGGTACTGGCAGCCGTGTGGAAGGCATCAGATATGGGGCGTGAGGGTCCTGAGGTTTCTGAAGAGTCCAGGGTGGCATGAGGCCACACCGGGTGCTGGGACATCAGCCCCGTGACACACGGCTGTGCCACGAAGCAAGGGCCAAAGTGCTCGGGCACCAGCGCCCAGCCAGGCACCCTGAGCCCAGAGATTGGAAATCTCTTATTTCCCCAGTGCCTGGGGCAACACCCAGCCTCTCTGCAGCCTGGCTGATACGGGCTCCTCCCAGGGCTGCTGTGGTCAGGGAAAGCAAGGAGAAATCCAATTCCTGGGACTTTTGCTGTCCCAGTGCTCCCACTCTCCCACGCACAGCCTTCACCCAGGGAAGCCACGGGGCCGGGCTGGCACGGCCCCAGCTCTGCCCTGCACCCCAGGAACACCCAGCCTTGCTGGAAGGAAAGGGGGGAAGTTTACTCAGACTGCGGTGGTGTGGGCTCAAAGGCCAAAA